ACAGCTTCCCAGCAAAACTGGTTGGTGAAATTACTTTTTTGCTACAGATATTTTTGAAGCGCCCGAACACGCGACACGTGTAAACGCCAAAGTTCATTTTATGTTTACATGCCCATGTATGGAAAACAAACATCTTCGTAAAATTGAAACGCTCTAAACAACTTAGTTCCCGAACTGGCATTTTGCCGACTTGTGTTCGTAACAAAAAACAAGCTGTGTGACTAAAAATTTCAGCCTCCTATCTTGCCCGTTTCCCGAAATCGTTTTCTCGCCAAAAGATTTACGTGACTCTTTCAGAATTCCGTACGTGAGACCCAAGTGTACGTGAATTCCTTGGGATATTTCGTGGCTCTCGCGCTAAATTCTGCATGCTCCGGTCAACTTCGATGCTCTCCCGCTTGCATCTTATTATGCGTTTTTTGCAGCAATGCAATGCGAAAAACGCATATTGACGAAAGGTTGTCTGTGTGTGTTTGTCTGTGTGTTTATGTGTGTGTGTCTGTGTGTGCGCTGGGTCTCCGTACCGATTTTTCATCTCAAGACCTACAAAAGCTACAGGGCTGAAACTTTGTGGACTTAATCTACATGCATGTAGGGGCCTCCACCCCAAAATGGGCGGTCTTTCCCGTGTGGTATCCATGTAAGAGCCCGCCAAAGTTTTTTACGGACAAGCTGCTAAGCTGCGAACCAAAAAAGCTAGAAAGCTGAAATTTTATGGGAATGTTCCCCCTCCAAGTAGGTACTAATGAGCTCAAACTCAACCTCCGAGTAAGCGTGGTACCCGCGTTCGGGCCCGCCAAAATTTTTCCCGCATAAATTCACAACTCGGGGATCTAAGATGCTAGAAAGCTGAAATGTTCCCCGTTTGAGGGAATGTTTCCCGTCCAAGTATATACTAATGAGTCAAACGCAACCCCCGGGTAAGCGCGGTACCCGCGTGCGAACCCGCTAAAATTTTTCCCGCCGGGGCTCTGGGATGCTAGAAGGGTGAAATTTTTATGGGGCGTTTCCTGTCAGTTTTGGCGGCCAGTCTTAATTTGTTTAGCTAGAAGGATCTGCCGAAAAAAATCGATGCCGGTAGCGACAAAAACTACGGGGAACTATGCAAAAAACGCATCATCGCACGGACAGCCCGTGCACTGGCCAATTATTTTGTCCCAGGCAAGATCTCCAGATCGCCGAGAAATAATCCCCGTCCCTCGCTCACCCTCGGCCACTATGACAGCGAGTACCAGCAGAAAGCCGTAGTCGCTATATAATTCAGTTAACAAAATAAGGCCCGTCCCTGAGTCCATGCTTTACGGCGTTTCTGATGATGCCTCTTAGTGAGCGGTGTTTTAGCAGTAATGGGGGAGGGGTGGGTCTGACGGATCTGGACTTGAGTTTCACAGAAAGCCAGGTGAGTGGGGAGGTGGTGGTTGTGTACGGCTGGCAAAAGTAAGGAGGGGTCTCATTGGCCGGGATCGCGTCAGCTAGGAAAGCCTCTGAAATCGTATTTCTTCGCAATGATTTCATGCAGTTCGTGCGGGGGTTGCTGCTGTTGGTGCGCGTTCGTTCTATTTGCCTGTCAAAGGATGAATATAGATCAACGAGGGATAGAGGAATTTTTGGTTTGCATGGGGAGGTTGCTGGCGTGTAGCAGGGAGTGGATGAGCCGAGAGCGGCTTGAGACTGCGATGCGTGCATTGGTCGTTGCCATTCTGGGGAGCGGGGACAGGAAGCCAGGGATTATCATGATCAGCAGGGGCAGCAGCGGGAATCATGGGCGATGCAGAGGGGTGCCTAGTCCGAGTAGGTGCTTGCGACGCAGCTTCGGCAGTGCTACGCTTCGTATGTTTTACTTGTTATTATTGAAATTGAGGAGCGTGTGATGATGCTGATGGTAAGCGGGGGGGTTTCTTTTTCAGATGGTGTTTGGACTGCTTTCGCACGCGACTTCGGTGCTCATCGGAGCTCTGTATCCGGCTTTCAAGACGTTCAAAGTGATACGTGACGGCCACTACAACGAAATGGTATTACTGTTTCACGTTATTGAGATGCGTTCACTGACGAAGCACGCATGCGCACACTGCTTGATTCCACGATCGCTGGGTGAGTGCTGCTCCTCGCTCAGCTGCACTGAGCTCAGGATGCAAGGAGGAAGGCCGGCCTGGCTCGCAGTGCTTTAGACCTGACTGCTCCGCTGTAGTAGCTCATTTCCCGTAAAAAATTCCGGTAAAAGGATAGCACAAGAACTGTGTAGTGTATTTTTGGCAGCTAGCTAACGTTGGAAGAGGATAGACAGCTTGCCGAGCGTGTAGAGTTTAGCGCTGCGCACCCTGTGCTGCTGCTGCTACTGCTGCTATAGGCATCTGACAGTTTTCAGATGAAATGGCTGAAGTACTGGACTGTTTACGCTGGCTTTTTGGCAGTGGAGACAGTTGGCGATGCCTTCTTCTTGCAGTATATTATTCCGGGATATCTGATACTGAAAAACGCATTTCTGCTTTGGATAGCAAGCCCGTGGACAGATGGCGCCGCACTGATTCACCAGAAGGTTAGTTTTTATGCGCTTTTTGCAGCTATGCAATGCAAAAACATATATTGACGAGGGGTTTTCTCTGTGTGTGTTTGTCGGTGTGTGCGTCTGTCACGGTTTTTCATTTCAAGACCTACAAAAGCTACAGGGCTGAAATTTTGGGAACTTAATCTACATGCATGTACGGACCCCAGTTCCCAAAATGGGCGCCATTACCCTCGTGGTACCCGCGTATGAGCTCGCCAAGGTTTTCCACGGGTAAGCTGCTAACTCGCGAACCAGAAATGATTAGGGGCTGAAATTTTAAGGGAATGTTCCCGTCCAAGTAGGTATTAATGAGCTCAAACCCAGCCCCCGGGCAAGAGTGGTATCCGCGTACGGGCCCTCCAAAATTTTTTTCGGATAAGTTGCTAACTCGAAAAACTGAAGAGTTAGAAGACTGTAGTTTTAAGAGGTTGTTTCCCGTCCATGTAAGTCTCAACGAGCTCAAACCCAGACATCGGCTTGTGTGGTGCCCACCTACGGCCCGTGAAAGTTTTTTCCAGTAAGTTGCTAGCTCAGAAACCAGGAAAGCTAGAAAGCTGAAATTTTGAGGGGTTGTTTCCTGGCAGTACTGACGGCCAGTCTTAATTTGTTTCGTTGGAAGCATTTGCCGAAAAAACCGGTGCCGGTAGCGACAGAAACTGCGAGTAACTATGCAAAAAACGCATCTTCGCATGAGCAGCTCGTGCATTGGCCAATTATTTTTTTTTTTGACTGCGTGGAAAGCCCAAGGCACATGCTTAAATCATTGCAGCAGCAGTATCAGTAGCCCCAAGAAACGCCGGCCGTTTTGTGGTTTTATTTAAAGCGTAGTTAATGCAGTCGGCCGAGCGATGCCCTCCTCACATTCGGTTGCGGCCTTCCTCAAGCACTGATCCTCCTCCACCTGTGCGCCCATCTGCCAGTTTTGTGCTCGAATTCACTCACTGTGCATGCATGCTATGAGACATTTTTATTTAGTTTGTTGCACCACTTTTGACTTCATATGAGCACGATATTGATGATATGCTGGATAATATGAGGTACTCGGTGCAGCGGCGCTTTTCTGCACTTGGAAATGGGGCGCTCGATAGGTAATC